TGTAAACCTTCCTAATCGAAAACACATTTAAGAATTTCAGCCAACATTTCATGAGATCGATCATTCACTGTACTGACGAATGGGAGGCATACAGTGTCCTACCCGCAGAAGGGTACAAACAGTAAATGGTCAACCACTCAAGGAATTTTAAGGATCATGAAACAGGCCGCCACACAGGCGCCATCGAGGCGTATTCAAACTGTGGATGATTAACACTCAGCATTGCCCCCAGTTTACAATCCACCCTCACAAGCAAACTTTGCGGTAGACCGTTAGCCAACGACGCAAAATGAGACCCATTCCAAATAATCCAAGATAGGTTCACGGGTCTTACGGGACAGGTGGAAGGAGGGGTTATGCGGGCGGGGCAAATGGATGAGAAGGTGGACAGGCGGAAAGGACTTTTTGTGATGACTGCTGTAAAAAAACGTGAATAAACCAAAATAGTTCCTTTAATGACCTTGAGATTGGAACAGGAAATTAAAATAGGAGGATATTTAACAACGTAGCTCCAAAATAATCCAAATACAATACCTGCACAGTAATGACGCTAAGATCAGAGATCAGGGCATTTAAGTAGCCAATCACGTCGTCCTTATAATTAATGCTCGAGGAAGGGGTATACTTAGGTTTCGAAAAAGTTTCTAATTATGAAATTTTTCAAGACCATTCATACAGCATAGTACCTGTCTGTTTACCACTGCTCCTCATGAAATGTACGACATGGTCCGCATCCATTGCAAAATTTTATGGATCCTATATAGAATTTTTTTAAAGACAAATAAGAACATGTGATTTTCTTTACGAGGAACACATGCACCCTGTAGACTGAAATCGCTAAGCGCTAATGCAACGGCTGATCAGGCTAAAAATTGTTCGGGAATTAGAAAACTTTTTAAAAACCTAATTATACTCTTTTTTCAAGTATAAAATATAAAGACGATGTGATCCTCTATCAAACGACTGAATGAAGGCACATTTTTGTTCGGGGATTCTGCAATATATATTTGAATTTCTAAGACCATCGAGAATTATCAAAAACTGCATGCTAATTAAGTAGTCATTCTTAACCGAGTATAGTTTTTACAGAAGATTAAAATGTAAAGCATTCAAAAGCTGACATCCTGCCAAGACCGAAATAAATTAGGACTACGTCCCATGATAATGAATGTTTTGACCCCAATTAAGCAAACCTTCCTAATCGAAAACACATTTCAGAATTGCAGCCAACATTTCATGAGATCGTTCATTCACTGTACTGACGAATGGGAGGCTTACGGTGCCTTATCAGCAGAAGGATACGAGCACTACATGGTCAACCACTCCAGAAATTTTAAGGCTCATGTAACAGGCCGCCACACAGACGCCACCGAGGCGTATTGAAGCCGGCTAGGGAGGAAACTGCGGGAAAGTGAGCCGGTCTCCTGTAAGGTCTCTCTGGGCTCATCTAGACGAAGCCCAGTACAGAATATGCTTCCGTCTCCACCAAAAGGTCCCTTAAACGGATTTTTTGTGTTTTTTTAAACTTGCGTTAATATCGCTTTTCTGTACGCGCAGTGATAGTGACTGCGATGGTTGTGGCAGGGAAAAAGCTGTCGCTGAAAGGCAAACTGAACTCCAGGGGCCTGAGGGAAGAAAATCCCTGGTATGGCTGGCACTTATCGAAGGTTGAACTTAAGCTAAAGGGGTTCGAGGAAAGGAAATCTCTAGTACTTGCCGTTTACTAAAGATTTCCGTGTGAACGTGCAGTGATTCAACGGATGGCATCCATGTCTTACCCGCTAAAGGCAACGCTGTTGAACATGTGGCCGCTTTGACTGCGAATTATTGAAAGGATGGAGGGGAGAAAGCTGCTGGCATGGATGGCAATCCTTCGAAAAGTAAACTGAACCCACAAGAGGCGGGAGGGTAATCTCTAGTTATTGCCGTTTACGAATGATTTTCGCCTGTGGGTACAGTGACTCAAAGGATGATATTGATGTCGTAGTCGCTAAAGGCAATGCGGTCAAGCATGTGGCTGGTAATGACGGCAACTTATCGAAAGGTAAACCGAACCCAAGGGTACAGAGGAAACAAAACCACTGATATGGATGACAGCGTATCGAAAAACACTGCTATTCTAAAGGAGTCGGTGGAAGAAAAATCCGTAGTAATCGACTTCACGAAAGCTTTCCGTGTGGAGGTGCAGTCACCAAACAGATGGCATATCTGTTATAGCTGGAAAAGTGACGCTACTGTTTTCGAATTCAGTAGGCAGCAGTATGTAATACGCAGTCCTCAGTCTAATACTGCGCCCTTACCAAGCGTTCAATATTTACCTTCCTCTGGCAAAGCCAGATACTCAAAATTCCATGCCAGAAGAGCACTGGGATCCTCATTCTGAATAGGGTCCCGGAGGACAATCTTTCCAGAAAGGCAACAGTCATTGTTTTTCAGCTGCGCCGAGGTTCAAACGGCAGCAGACTCAGCACTGCTCCTCTCGTCACTTTTCCGCTTGCTGAGTTGGTCATGATTGGGTCGTGAACAGAGACCTGGTGACAACAGCCAATTGACGAAAGCCAAGTCCTTCCTTGGCTTTCAGACGGTCTTTTCGAAAGTACTCGGTTGACACATGCGTTCACCGTACGACTAAGGAGACGGAAAAAAATTGTTTCGGGGACGCGGGGACTCGCGCTTTAACTTACCACGCCTGACGTCAACGCCCGAGGCTGCATAGGCCTCAGTCAAATCTGCAAGAGCGCGTGCGAGGTGAGATGTCTGAAGTGAGCTAGTAAAATCTCGGAACAGAACATTTCCTCTATGACTTCCTGTTCTACCTGTATGCAACTAATTTCTGCCTTCGTCAGTTACCCCTTGTTTAAATCTGCTATATCGAAATCAGTGAATATATTTCTGCAGATAGTGTGCCGAGGCGCAAGACCATCTTGCCCTTCCCTGCCTGTTCCTCATTCTTGAATTTACTGGTTGTTTGATTGAATGGAATGAACAAAACACGACGTGACGCGCTTGGCATGTGTTGGATTGTCAGGTCGTTTGACATCTGATTGTTAATTCTTTCGTAACGCTGGTCTTATCCTGATATCCATAGTCTGTCTTTAGCGCTCGCGACAGTGGTGACCTTTTGACCTTCGCTCTTATACCTTTAATTTGTTGAGTTTCTATTTGTCTACAGTCCGACTGCTTTCTTTCTTTCTACCATCATGATCTCTAGGAATTCCAACAATGCCACTACTTCACTCAGTGGACTACTTTCGTCTCTCCCATACCTTTGGCAACATGCGCCAGAGCTTTATTTTTTCCGTATCGAGGCGACATTTCACTCCGTCAAGATAACACGCGAAACAGACAAATATTATAAGTTGGTCGAGGTCCTTCATCCTACCATTCTTTCCCAAGTGCAGACGTTTCTGAGGGATCCCTCGACTGATGCTCCCTACACCAAGTTAAATGCTGAACTCCTTCGCCTGACATCAGTCTCCGATCGGCAGCGTTATCACGCAGTGGTAAAAGAAGAGGCTTTAGGTGATCGCAAGCCGTCGGAACTCTTGCGTCGTATGCGTTCTCTCGTTGGAAACATGGCCATCCACGACAACTTCTTCAAAGAGATTTTCTTAAAACGTCGGCCGACGTCGGTACAAACAATCTTGGCCTCTGGCTCAGACGACCTAGACATATCAAAGCTAGAGAAGATGGCCGACCGTATGACGGAGGTTGAGTGTTTGTCATCTCCGACGATTACTCAGGTTTCCCAGCCTCTCACCGTGTCCACCTGTGACCTGGCTGAACTTAAGACACAGATTGCGCAGTTGTCAGCGACTGTTGCCGCTTTGCAGCTGCGCCGATTCCCCGGTCCCTCTCGACGTTCCTTCGGCCGTGACCGTCGTCGTTCCCGCTCTCGCCCCAGGACCACAAATCTATGCTGGTATCATGTCAACTATGGCGATAAGGCTTGGCGCTGTGTCCCACCCTGCTCCTTCTAGTCCACGCAGGGAAACTCCTCGACCGGAAAGTAAATGCGGCCGAGCTCTCTGGCAACTCTATGGGCCTCACCTTTTAGGTCTGTGATAACACGAGTCGCAGGCATCTTTTAGTCGACACTAGCGCTCAAATTACTGTTATCCCTCTCACGCCTGCCGACCGACGTTGCCCAAATCATGGTCTTTAACTTCAAGCCGTAAATTCATCCCCCATTACAACCTTTGGACTTCGATCCCTCCCTTTGGATATTGGTCTCCGGCGATTATTCCCCTGGATATTTGTGGTTGCTGATGTACCCACCGCCGTCCTTGGTGCTGATTTTTTGGCCACCTTTGACCTTCTGGTGGATTGCAGACAATTTCGCCTCCGTGAAAGCGAAACTACCCTCAACGTCAAAGGATTTCATCATCCACAGTTTCTAACCAGCTCTTCGTCCTTGACCCAAACCCTGACTGTCATTTCGTAGACTTTTAGCAGAATATCCTATTCTCACTAAGCCCCATTTCTCCGACACCTCATTGCTCCATGATATTGTTCATCTCATAAAAACGACTGGTCCTCCCATTTTCTCTCGTCCCCGCCATCTTGCTTCCGCGCGTCTTGCGGCTGCTAAAGCTGAATTTGACCCTCTGCTACAATTAGGGATTATTCGGCAGTCTGACAGTCCCTGGACATCTCCGTTGCACATGATTCCTAGACCAAATACGGATGATTGGCGTCCTTGTGACGATTATAGAGCCCTAAACAATATAACTATTCCCGATCGGTATCCGGTTCCTCATCTTCAGGACTTTGCCAGCGCTCTCTCTGGCAAAACCGTTTTCTCGAAGATCGATGTGGTCCAGGCTTTTCATCAAATTCCGATTGCGGCTGAGGACATTCCCAAAACGGCAGTGACGACTCCTTTGGCTTGTTCTAGTTCCTTCGTAAGTCATTTGGTCTCCGAAATGTCTCACAGTCTTTCCAACGTTTAACTGACCGTGTTTTACTTGACCTTCCATTTGTTTATGCGTATATTGATGATGTTCTCGTCGCCAGTCGAGATGTCGAGGAACATCTCCATCACTTTGCTTTTCGACCGATTTCAGCAGTTTGGTGTCATCCTGCATCCTTCTAAATGTGACCTAGGAGCCACTTCTCTTGAGTTCTTAAGTCACCTGATCGATTCAAACGGCATTCGGCCTCTTCCCTCAAAGGTTGTCGTCATTCGGGACTTTTCACTCTCTACATCGAAGCGTCAGTTGAAACGGTTTCTTGGTATGGTGAACGTTTATCACCGGTATCTCCCGAACTGTGCCCATACCATCCTACCTCTGACCAGTCTCCTCTCAGGTTCTAAGCACACCTTTGAACTAACACCAGCAGCACTCACGTTAGTTGAGCAGGTAAAAGCCCTGTTGGCTGATGCCAACCTCCTGACTCACTTTCATGCTGATGCACTCATATCTCTGATGGTCGATGCCTTCAACGTTGCTGTTGACGCGGTCCTTCAACAAAGTCTGCCAGATTCAACCGTGCCTTTGGCTTTCTTCTCCAGGAAAATATCCAAGGCCAGAACCCGCTACAGCACATTCGGTTGTGAACTTCTCGCCGGTTATCTTGCCGGAGGCACTTCCGGCATTTACTCGTAGGTCGAGAGTTCACAATTTTCACTGATCATAAGCCACTCACATTTGAAATGCATTCCCACTCTGACAAGCTAAGCCCCCGGGAGACCCGCCACCTGGACTACATTTCGCAGTTCACTTCAGACACCCGCCATATTGACGGGTCACGGAGTGAGATGGCTAACGCACTCTCCAGGCCCTCTATCGCTCACCTTCAGCTTTCACCCGCGATAGAACTCACTGAGATGGCCGCTGAAGAACGCCGTATCGGTTCACCCTGTGATGAGGATGTTTCCGGACTCCAACTTCAGGAACTACCACTGACAACTGGCAACGGCACCGTCTTATGCGACGTATCCACCCCATCCCATCGTCCATTTGTGCCACCATTCCTCCGCCGCAAAGTTTTCTCCTCCCTGCACAATCTCTCTCACCCTGGGAGTCGAGCAACCGACAAGCTTGTTTCCGACCGCTTCGTCTGGCCTGGGATGCACAAAGACTTCAAAGCATGGACACGGGCTTGTATCGCCTGTCAACGGAGTAAGATCCAGTGGCACAGCAAGGCCCCCATTGGCACCTTCGCCGGTTCAGCCACGTTCACCTGGACATTGTAGGCCCCCTGCCTCTGTCCAATGGTTTTTCCTATCTCATCATCGGTTCACTCGGTGGCCTGAAGCAATTCCCCTGCCTGACATTGCTGCTCCAACGGTGGTCAAGACTTTTCTCAGTCGTTGGGGTGCTATCTTTGGTGCACCCTCCACAATCACGACTGACCGTTGTGCCCAGTTTGAGTCTAACCTCTTCCAGTCTTTACTCTCCTTTTTAGGCTGTACCCGCATCCGGACAACAGCCTATCACCCGGCTGCTAACGGGATGGTCGAGCGGTTTCACTGCCAGCTGAAGGCCTCCCTACGCGCATTTTCGATTGCGAAGAATTGCTTAAGTGATATTGTTGTAGTGATTATCTTCTAGAGTGCAAACCCCAAACGCAAGTGTAAAGTCAGATCTAGCTCCAAATTATCCACGACTTGAAAAGCTTTTTGAAACCTGCGTACATTCCTTCTTTGGATATAAAATTTATAAAAGGTATTATCTGCTACAAAAGATGCAAACGAAAGAATTCTTTGACCATGGTGTCTGCAAGGTAAAGTTAAATTTATAAGGGCGCGCGAAATCAATGGAAACCATCGATAGTACTTACTTGGCCAGTTTTCACTGAGTACGGCCGCTGCCGGCTGCTGGAAAGAAGTGAGATCTAAAGTCGGCATTCTGGGAAGACTCAAATATATTGGGATTAGGTTACATGAAAATTCCTATAACAACACAACTTGCGCTATTCTTTCTGACACAGGGCGCATTTACTGCTTTTACCAACATTTTGTGGAATCGGTCTCAGACTGTGGGCATCCGTGAAATTCTGTCTAATGCGACACCTTTCTGTCCAATATTTTAGCCGAAATTATTTTGCTTCTGAACCACTTCGTCCACCACAAAAACTACTTCGATTTTCAGTGGTGACGATCGATGGACATCCGACCGAAAGACAACTACACAGCTCTGATGTCGCCTATATTAAGTTTAAGTGGAAATTTGGAACAAACGAATTACGGACCTAGTTCCCCTGTACGGTCCTTGAACCTGCTCTGAAGCTTCGTATTAAGACTAATACCTGCCTGTTTCCAGTCATTTACAAAAAAATTTTAAACTCTTGGATTACTTAAGCATTCATAGACCAAGTAACTTGCGTATGCAAAAAATTCAATAGTAGAAGGCTGGTAGGTTTGTCAACTAATGCCCCCTTGACGCTTTGAGCAGACCGTGGATGATAAGGGAACTTGGATGTGCCAAATGTTTCATCATTACAATATTAGCCACAATCCAAGCAACCGTCATTGCTGCCTTTCATACCCATAACATCGCCGACTCTATTCTGACTCATTTCGGCCCCTCGCCCTGTTAGCCTTCTCTGCTCTCATGGGAACCTGGGCGTCATGTAGGGCTTGTCCTAGCACTGGAGCAAACATCGTTACATGAACTGAGCTCATCCCACTCGAACAGGCCAGCAGACCGTCATTGTGGGATGCCGAAGAGGGGACAGCTTACTCAAACAACTTTATTTTTGTCTAACGTCTGGTTTAGTGTTAGGTTTCGAAAAGTGAAAATCCCATAAGGGTTCAGTCCGTTTCTGTCTGCCTCTTTGCTGTGCAGTTCGGTTTTACGTCGTTCGGGGTGGTTAGAATAACCGATAACTGCATTGACGTTAGATGAACATTTTTTCTGTCAGAGATATCCCGATTGACTCGATTTTGCCCCGATTATACACCGAAAATCCATCCTATTGGAGTACATTAAATCTGCGATATGGGAACGCTCGAAACTTCGAAGCACAGTCATTGGTTTATCTCATGAAATTATAGCCAAAATTCTGGAATGCATTTTTGATTGTGATGAATTGCTTAAGTGATATTGTTGTAGTGATTATCGTGTCGCACAACCACATAATATTCCAGACACACCAGAATGTAGATTGATAAATGCCAACATTTGGACAGCTGGGAAACCTACACTCGGCAAAAGATGGCTACGTAGGAAGTATACACTTTCTCTATCGATTTTTGATGCATATGAATTAAAAACTATTTTGTAGAAAATCACCTACGATAAATAATTTTCTCGTGCTGACCGGATAGCGGATCACGTCATTTTCAAATTATATACTCGAAGAAAGTGTGCCTTTTGGTTTTACAATGTTTCTGGTACTAAGATTTTTAAAACCGTTCAGTGCTCGATCGAACGACATCGTATCGGCAACACTTTATGGGCATCATGTAATATTTTCTTAATGGCGTCATTCAATGTGTTTTTTCCTCATACGGAAAGTATACAGCTTAGATACCCAAAATTCCAAAATAAAAGTGCATAACAAATCGAGTTCAGGGAAGTAGGGAATTAAAGAACGTTCTTAAAACCTAAAGGCGATCTAATAAATAAAAAAATTAAAGGAAACATGATTTGTTATCAAAAGAGTACACAAATAGCATTTTCATGGAACTTTTTTCCTAAAATATATTGAAATTTACTTGGGCATCGAAAGTCGGCAGAGAAAAACTTTAAACCTCGCGCGCGAGAGCGCGGTAATTAATGCCTCATGTCCACAGAAGCTTCGTGATTCTACAAACCAGCAACTGCACAGTCAGCTTTGAACCTGAGCGAGAACACTGAGGGCTAACGGTTGTGAACAAGGCCATAATAATGAAGAAATGGGAGTTTGTGTGATGGGGACTCTTAGCCAGCTATTACATGATGCTTTAACACTGGAAGTCTTTCGATCGGTCGATTGTGGCAGAGTTCCTTCCATGTCGGTGGATTGATTTGTTGATCCTAAAAAGAGGTCGGCGGAACGTATTCGTAGCGTGTGTCTCAATGATCGTTCTCTGTCCAAGTAGACTCGCCTATCCACGTAATCACCAGGTCGCAGCATGCTTTGGAGTGATGGGGAGGGGGGAAGGAGAGAGCATATTGAGTCTAGCTGTCGAGAACATCGACACAAGGATAAAGAAGCAGGAATTGATGTCATCAGCAAGTTTTCCAATTCCTCAGTCAACTGCTACGCATGTCTGATTAGAACTCCCTAATGTTTTGACACTCCTGGCGTGCTTGTCTCCTCCAGGACGCAGAAAATAACATCCGAATGCTCAAAAAATTTACACCAACCACAATCTATCTATATATATAAAAATGGAAGGCTTTTTTTTCTGTGTTATATCTAATCTCCGAAAGTACTGTACCGATTGCGCTGAAATTTGGACACAACCCGACCCGCGCATTGGGCCGGGTTTTTGGCTGTTCAGTTGTGTAATTATGCCGATGGTATGCCTGTGATGGGTAAAAAACTGGATATTTTCCGGCATAACAACGCCACCAGCTGCGGCCACTTGACCTACATCCGCTTGTGCCCACACGTCTACCCGCCGAGCCACTTGACCGACATTCGCTCAAACGCACGTGCTCCACCCGACGGCCGCGCCCACCCCACCATTCACCTCGCAGGCACTTGAGCAGGCCCTGCACCCTCTCTGGGCCGCTGCAATATGGGCTGCCGGAGCAAACCACTCACCCTGCGGCAAAAAAACACGCAACACTTGGACGCCACTTGCGGAAGCCGGGTTGCGGTCACGGCTACCGCGTTCTGCAGCTTCGGGCCTGCTTGGTTCAGCAACAGAATAAACAATACCAATTTCAACACAGTATCCATTTACTTTTCGTGATGGTGCCGTTGGATATCACTTCAACGGTAAGACCATAAATTCAGTCAGTGACGAGGAAATGCACGCGAAATTTAATGGAATGAATTACTACTCCTTCCGACTTATGCTTCGACAGAATGTAAGTAAACCCCTTTTGAAGTGCCGTCAATTGCTTCATCACTGCATTGTGAATACGCATGCGAAATCGAAACCGGACACTCGCTTTTCATTCATTTGCATCCGACCAAACTGCGCTCTGAAGAATAAATTCCTTTGCATGATGCAGTTGTAAACGACGGTAATACACCTTCCGTTGTAAGACTACTGATTTTTGTCCTCCACATACACAGACAGTTCACGCCATACGCCCGGGTACGCTGGAGGTGCGACCCCTTTTGTTTGTCAGTACTGACGTCCAAACCTACTCTTTACATTCACATGCAATCCAGCTTGGGGGGGGGATATTTTTCAGCTCTCACTTCTCGGGTTATCGCCCGTAAATAGGTATGACATCAGAGCACATGCTTTTCTGCAAAAAACCGAAATCGCTGATGAACTTCATGGTGAAACACGAGGTGGTTGGGTCTGTGCGCTGCTGGATGTATTAGGTGGAGCGGCAAAAGAGGGGACTGCCCCATGCACATGTCCTGATCTGGCTCTATAACAAGATCGCATCCAACGAATTCGACGACGCAGTATGCGCCGAATTACCTGATATCGACGTCGACAATGATTTGCATGAAGAATAGGACACATGGACCTTCGATGCACTGAATCCCAATTCTCCAACCCCCCCCCTCCCTCGGCATGATAGACGGAAGTCCCTTATACCGAAAACGATCAGCGGAAGACATCTGGAAATTGGCAACCGTACGAATGCGAATCGGTAACCGCTGGGTTGTTTCCTATTCGCCTTTGCTTTTAAAAGCAAACGCAGTTCACACAAACGTAGAACACTGCAATTTTGGGAAATGAATTAGGTACATTTGTAAGTACGTGAATAAAGGCAGCGACATGGCCGTTTTCGGCCTGCAACACGAAAGGAGATAAAGGGATGCGGACATACAACACAATGAAACCGCACAGTATTGGGCTGGAAGATGCGTCAACGGCAAGAAATCCATGTGGCGAATTCTTTCATTCCCAATCCATGAGCGAAGTCCAGGTGTTTTTCACTTACAGTACAGTTAGAGAATGGGCAGTGCGTTTATTTTACTGATGCAAACGCCCAACAGGTTGCCTTGGGTCCACGGGCAACAACATTAACTGCGTTCGAGGCTCGGGTGTTCCACATTTCGGGATTGGGTATGGCTGGCTGACGACGGCTAATAAGCCAGAAATGGCCATTCCAGTCTCCCTTGTCTTTGTCGGTAATAGCATTCTGCCAACATTAACTGCGTTCTCCACGTTAAGCCAAAGTGACGCTTATGCGAAAACACTGCCGCATTCGGTAGTGCCTACACATTACACAGGGAATGTGTGTAGAAAATCATCCGAAAAACGCAAACGAGGAGCGCGAGTGGACGGGCACCTTGGCATACCCAAAGGAACTGCGATAGGCAGACTGCATACCGTGCATCCCAATCTTACTTCGCATGGTTTTGATGAATGTGCCACGTCCAACGTCTTTCCAGCAATTGAAATCTGTCAACGGCGCTACGCATACCACTTTCAGCAGTGCGTGTCAGGCTCTTCAGTTACTGGAGAACGATCAACTGTGGGACGTATTTTTTAATGACGCCTGCAGCACGTCCCATCCACATCAAATTCGTACATTGTTTGCAGTCATATTGACCGCATTCTCTCCTTGATCTCCAACATTTTTACGGGAGAAATATAAATTACAGATGGCTGAAGATACTTTCCGTCAACTATGCGAGGAAATTCAAATGCGGCTTGCACAGCAGGAATCTACGGCGAGGCGTTAATATTGACTGAGGATATGTACGCCGAAATCGCGATCAAAGTTCTTAATCAACTGGGAATGTCACCGCAAAACCAGTCTGCTGTTGCTTCGTTTGATGTGGATTGGCGCAATGAACAAAATGAAACACGGTTTAATTTCTGCCATGCTTGCAATCAAACATTCACAAGCTAAGACTGGAGCAGAATGACATTTACAACCAAATACTGCGGACTGGCAGTAACGGGGTTGGAGGAATCTTCTTCCTAGATGCGCCAGGGGGGACTGGCAAAACGTTCCTACTACGACCTATTCTGACGGCAGTTCGATCCAATAAATGAAATAGCCCTAGCACTTGCATCCCCGGAATAGCGGCAACTCTGCTACCTGGCAGAAAACCCCTTCATTCTGCTTCGAAATTGCCTCTGAACGCGCAATACATTGAAACTCCCGCGTATAACATTTCCAAAGCATCCGGCATGGGAAAAGTACTGCAGAAATGCAAACCTATTGTTTGGGTGAATGCACAATGGCGCAAAAAAGCGCTCGAGGCCCCTGATCGAACGCTGCAGAATTTGCGAGGAAACAGCAGACCATTTCCGATGCACTGCTACTGCTCGCAGGAGGCTTTAGGCCACCACTGCCTCGATCGAAACCGGTGGACGAAATAAATGCCAGCCGTCACCACTTACTCCGGAATTCCCGAGCGCGACTGGGTGCAGCAAACAATTGCCCTGCCTTCGACGGCGGCTAGAAGGACAATCCTGGGTTTCGCACACAATACGTACCGCCAACCGGTGGCCCTTACATTTTTCTTGATTGGGAACGTGCTCCTTCCTCTTTCCCTTATTTCCCAATTCATTAGGTTGAGCCGCAGCAACGCGTGGCGGGGTCCGGCTAGTCTATATATATAAAAATGGAAGGATTTTTTTTCTGTGTTATATCTAATCTCCGAAAGTACTGCACCGATTGCGCTGAGATTTTGATACAACCCGACCCGCGCATAGGGCCGGGTTTTTGGCTGTTCAATTGTGTAATTATGCCGATGGTATGCCTGTGATGGGTAAAAAACCGGATTTTTTCCGGCATAACATCGCCACCTGGTGCGGCCACTTGACCTACATCGCGCGCGGACACATGTGCGCCCAGACTGCGGCCACTTGACCGACATTCGCTCAGACGCATGTGCTCCACACGACAGCCGCGCTCATCCCACCACCCACCCTGCAGGCACTTTAGCTGGCCCTCCACCCTCCCTGGGCCGTTGCAATATGGGCCGCCAGAGCAAACCACTCACCCTGCAGCAAAAAAGCACGCAACACTTGGACGCCACTTAAAATTGTCCCACAGCCCACATAATAGTGCCGTCACCGCTGCCTCGGGGATGCTCGGGGGGGTGAGGAGTGGATGCAGCTAACGCCAGCGCCTGCCCTCTCCCCGCCCGCACAACCCACATAATGGGGCTGTCGCCCAATGTCAGCTCAGAATTGTGCAGCTGGGCTTGCGAAAGCCCGGTTGCAGTCACAGCTACCGTGTTCTGCAGCTTCGGGCCTGCTTCGTTCAGCAACAGGATGAACACTACCAGCTGGGAGTGGCCGAATGGCGCCAGCGAGGAACAGCAGACCAGCGTCCAACACGACTTCGTGCTCAGCATTCACGCTACGTGATGTTGTTGTGAACGACGGCACGACAACAACCGTTGGAAGAGTAACGATTTTAGGGTAAGGTGATACCTTATATGCCGGCAGTCGGAGACCGATTCCAACGCAACATCCATTTAAGTATCGGGATGATACCGGTGGATATCACTCCAACGCTAAGAGGATAAATCCAGTCAGTGACGAGGTAACGCACATGAAATGCAGCGCAACGAACCCTTAAGCAAACCGACTTATTATACGACAGAATGTATGTTGTCCCCTTTTGTAATGCCGTCAATTGCTTCATCACTACATTGTGGATATGTATGCAAAAATCGAAACTGAACGCCTGCTTTCATTCGCTTAAATCAGACCAAGCTGCTCTCTGAAGGATAAATTCCTTTGCCTGATGCTGTTGTAAACGACGGTAATGCAGCTAACGTTGTAAGACTGACGCTTTTGTTGTCCACGCCATATGCTCGAGTACGCTCGAGGTGCAATTGCTTACAATTGTCAGTACGGACGTCCAGACCTACTCATAACATTCAAATGTAGTCAGCTTTTATCTCCTGGGCTATCGGCGGTAAATAGGTATAACATCACAGCACGTGTTTTCAGGAAGAAACTTCAATCGCTGATGAACTTCGTGGTGAAACACGAGGTGTTTGGGCCTGTGCGCTGCTGGATGTATTAGGTGGAACGGCAAAAAGGGGACTACCCCATGCGCATGTATTGATCTGGCTCTATAACAAGATCACTTCGAACGAAATCGACGATGCCATATGCGCTGAATTACCTGATGCCGACGTCGACAATGCGTTGCATGAAGTTGTGGCGAAGAATATGAAACATGGACCTTGGATGCACTGAATCCCAATTCTCCAAGCCACCTCTCCCCCGGCATGATAGACGAAAGTCCCTTATCTATCTATCTATGTATATAAAAATGGAAGGATTTTTTTTCTGTGTTATATCTAATCTCCGAAAGTACTGCACCGATTTATATGAAATTTGGACACAACCCGACCCGGGCATTGGGCCGGGTTTTGGTATGCTCAATTCTGTAATTATGCCGATGGTATGCCTGTGATGGGCAAAAAGCCGGATTTTTTCCGGCATAACAACGCTACCAGCTGCGGCCACTTGACCCACATCCACGCGGACACATGTGCGCCCAGACTGTGGCCACTTGACCGACATTCGTTCACACGCACATGCTCCGCCCGACAGCCGCGCTCACCCCTCCGCCCACCCTGCAGGCACTTGAGCAGGCCCTCCACCCTCCCTGGGCCGATGCAATATGGGCCGCCAGTGCAAACCACCCCTGGGGCAAAAAAACATGCAACACTTGGACGCCACTTAAAACTGTCTCACAGTCCATATAATAGGGCCGTCACCGCTGCCTGGGGAATTCTCGGGGGTGAGGACTGGATGCAATTAACACCAGACCCACCCCCCGCACAACCCACATAATGGGCTGCCGCCCAATGTCAGCTCAGTATTGTGCAGCTCGGCTTGCGGAAGCCCGGTTGCGGTCACGGCTACCGCTTTCTGCAGCTTCAGGCCTGCTTCGTTCACAACATCATGACCACAGCCACCTGGGACTGGCCGAATGGCGCCAGCGAGGAACAGCAGACCAGCGTCAAACACGACTCCATGCTCAGTATTCACGCAGCCCGATGCTGTTGTAAACGACGGTACGCCAACAACCGTTGGAAAACTAATGGTTTTAGGGTAAGGTGATAGTATCTATACCGGCAGTCGGAGACCGATTCGAACGCAACATCCATTTACGTATCGGGATGGTACCAATGGATATCACTTCAACGTTAAGCTGATAAATCCAGCCATTGACGAGGTAACGCACATGAAATGCAGCGCAATGAACCCCTACTCAAACGGACTTATGATGCGACAGAATGTAAGTAATCCCCTTTTGAAATGCCGTCAATTGCTTCATCACTGCATTGTGGATATGTATGCAAAAAATCGAAACAGGACGCCTGCTTTTCCTTCGCTAAAATCAGACCCAGGTGTGTTCTGAAGGATACATTCCTTTGCATGATGCAGTTGTAAACGACGGTAATACAGATAACGTTGTAAGACTAACGCTTTTGTCATCTACATACAGAGACAATTCACGCCATACGCTCGGGTACGCTCGAGGTGCAATTTCTTATGTTTGTCAGTACGGCGCGTCCAGACTTACTCATTACATTCACATGCAATCCAGGTTGGGGGATGTTTATCAGCTCTTACCTCCTGGCCTATCGACGGTAAATAGGTATGACATCACAGCACGTGTTTTCAGGAAGAAACTGCAATCGCTGATGAACTTCATGGTGAAACACCAGGTGGTTGGGTCTGTGCGCTGCTGGATGTATTAGGTGGAATGGCAAAAGAGGGGACTGCCCCACGCACATGTCTGGATCTGGCTCTATAACAAGATCGCTTCCAACGAAATTGGCGATGCAATATACGCTGAATTACCTGGCGCCGACGTCGACAATGATTTGCATGAAGTTGTGGCGAAGAATATGATACATGGGCCTTGGATTCACTGAATCCCCATTCTTCAACCCCCTCCCCCTCCCCCCCGGCATGATAGACGGAAGTCCCTTTTACCGAAAATGCTCAGCGGAAGACATCGGCAAATTGGCAACCGTACGAATGCGAATCGGTGACTTAGAAGTCGGTAACCGCTGGGCGGGTTCGTATTCGCCTTTGCTTTTAAAAGTAAAACGCAGCTCACATAAACGTGGAACACTACGCTTTTGGGAAATAAATTTGATACATTCGTAAGTACGTGAGCAAAGGCAGCATTATGGCTGATTTTGGCCTGCAACACGAAAGGAGGGAAAGGGTTGTGGACATACAACTAGATGAAATCGCTCAGTATTTGGCTGGAAGATGCTTCAACAGCCACAAATCCGTGTGGTGGATTCTTCCTTTGCCCCTCCATGAGCAAGTCCAGGTGTTGTTCACTTGCAGTACACTTGGTGAATGGGCAATGCGTTTACTTTATCGATGCATATGTGTAACTGGCCACCGGCAACACGCATTAACTGCGTTCTCCCGTTGAGCCAAACTGACGCGTTTGCGAAAACACTGCCGTATCCGGAAGTGCCTACGTATTACACAGGGAATGCCTGCAGAAAATCTTTTTTCTACACAAACGAGAGCGAGTCGACGGACACCTTGGCATATTCAAAAGAACTGCGATAGGCAGACTGCACAGCGTGCATCCCAATCAGGACGAATGCTTCTTACTCCGCATGGTGTTGGTATATGTGTCCGCTCCAACGTCTTTCCCGCAATTGAAATCTGTCAACAGCGTTACGCACGCCAATATCCGTAGTGCATGCCAAGCGCTCAATTTATTGGTAAACTACCGATACTGGGATGTATGCATTAGTGGTGCGTGCAACACGTCCCATCCACATCGAATTCGTTCGTTGTTTGCAATCATACTGACCGCCTGTTCTACTTCATCTCCAACAGATTTATGGGAGAAATATAAATTGCACATGGCTGAGGGTATCTTCCGTCGACTACGCACGGAAAATCCCAAATGCGGGTTTCAGAGCAGGAATCTACAACGAGGCGTTAATAGTGATTGTGGATATGTACGTAAGACGTCGCGAAAAAAGTTCTTTATCAACCGGGAATGTTCTCATCAAACCGATCTTCTGCTGTTCCTTGAGCACATAAAGCGCTCGGGGCATTCGATCGAACACTGCAAGATGTGCGCGGAAACAACAGACCATTTGGAGACATTACTGCTACTGCTTGCAGGAGACTTCAGGCAAACACTGCCTGTAATTCTTCCATCGGCAACAGGAGACGAAATAAATGCCTGCCTGAAATACTTTTCATTGTGGCGCCAAATCCAGGCGGCAAAATCAACTACAAATATACGTGTCCAGCTGCAAAACTACCGATCAGATGTGGTATTCTCACAGTAATTGCTGGCAATTGGGAATGCTACGCTGCCCGGTGATCCGACTACAAGAAGGATTTCCCTACGTATTAGCCTCGACAATTTAGTGTCCACAAAAGAGGAATTGGTTGAAAAGGTGTCTTCCACTATTCAGACCACTTTCAACAATCACGACTGATTGAGCGAACGAGCTATTCGTGCGGCCAAAAATAAACACGTGTACCATTATTACCACATGATTACGTCTAAGATTCAAAGCAAGACATTCACATATACGTCCGTCGACACTACTGTGGAAGAAGACGAGGCAGATTAATTATCCGACACAAATTTTGAATTCACATGAGCCACAGCAACGCGTGGCCGGGCGCAGATAGTCAATCTATATAAAAATGGAAGGTTTTTTTCTGTGTTATATCTAATCTCCGAATGTACTGCATCGATTGCGCTGAAATTTGGACACAACCCGACCAGCGCATAGGTCCGGGTTTTTGGCTGGTCAGTTGTGTAATTATGCCCATGGTATGCCTGTGATGGGTAAAAAACCGGATATTTTCCGGCATAACAACGCCACCAGCTGCGGCCACTTGACCCACATCCACGCGGACACATGTGCGCCCAGACAGCGGCCACTTGACCGACATTCGTTCACACGCACATGCTCCGCCCGACAGCCGCGCTCACCCCTCCGCCCATCCTGCAGGCACTTGAGCAGGCCCTCCACCCTCCCTGGGCCGATGCAATATGGGCCGCCAGTGCAAACCACCCCTGGGGCAAAAAAACATGCAACACTTGGACGCCACTTAAAACTGTCCCACAGTCCATATAATAGGGCCGTCACCGCTGCCTGGGGAATTCTCGGGGGTGAGGACTGGATGCAATTAACACCAGACCCACCCCCCGCACAACCCACATAATGGGCTGCCGCCCAATGTCAGCTCAGTATTGTGCAGCTCGGCTTGCGGAAGCCCGGTTGCGGTCACGGCTACCGCTTTCTGCAGCTTCAGGCCTGCTTCGTTCACAACATCATGACCACAGCCACCTGGGACTGGCCGAATGGCGCCAGCGAGGAACAGCAGACCAGCGTCAAACACGACTCCATGCTCAGTATTCACGCAGCCCGATGCTGTTGTAAACGACGGTACGCCAACAACCGTTGGAAAACTAATGGTTTTAGGGTAAGGTGATAGTATCTATACCGGCAGTCGGAGACCGATTCGAACGCAACATCCATTTACGTATCGGGATGGTACCAATGGATATCACTTCAACGTTAAGCTGATAAATCCAGCCATTGACGAGGTAACGCACATGAAATGCAGCGCAATGAACTACTACTCCTACCGACTAATTATACGACAGAATGTAAGTAGTCCCCCTTTTGAAATGCCGTCAATTGCTTCATCACTGCATTGTGGATATGTATGCAAAAATCGAAACTGAACGCCTGCTTTTCATTCGCTTCAATCAGACCAAGCTGCGCTCTGAGGGATATATTCATTTGCATGATGCATTTGTAAACGACGGTAATGCAGCCAACGTTGTAAGACTAACGCTTTTGTCGTCCACGCCATATGTTCGAGTACGCTCGAGGTGCAATTGCTTACGTTTGTCAGTACGGGGCGTCCAGACCTACTCATAACATCCACATGCAATCCAGCTTGGGGATGTTTATCAGCTCTCAACTCCTGGGCTATCGACGGTTAATAGGTATGACATCACAGCACGTGTTTTCAGGAAGAAACTTCAATCGCTGATGAACTTCCTGGTGAAACACGAGGTGGTTAGGTCTGTGCGCTGTTGGATGTTTTAGGTGGAACGGCAAAAGAGGGGACTGCCCCATGCACATATCCTGATCTGGCTCTATAACAAGATCGTTTCCAGCGAAATCGACGACGCAGTATGCGCCGAATTACCTGATATCGCCGTCGACAATGCTTTGCATGAAGTTGTGACGAAGAATATGATACATGGACCTTGGATGCACTGAATCCCAATTCTCCAACCCCCCCCCCCTCTCCCGACATGACAGACGGAAGCTCTTTATACCGAAAATGATCATCGGAAGACATCGGCAAATTGGCAACCGTACGAATGCGAATCGGTGACATAGTAGTCGGTAATCGCTGGGTTGTTTCATATTCGCATTTGCTTTTAAAAGCATACGCAACTCACATGAACGGGAAAAACTGTAATTGCGGGAAATGAATTAGGTACATTTGTAAGTACGTGAATAAAGGCAGCGACATGGCCGTTTTCGGCCTGCAAAACGAAAGGAGGGCAAGGGATGCGGGCATTCAACTCGATGAAGTCGCACAGTATTGGGCTGGAAGATGCGTCAACGGTAACAAATCCGTGTGGCGAATTCTTTCATTCCCCATCCATATGCACGTCCAGGTGGGCAATGCGTTTACTTTACCGATGCTAATGTGCAACAGACCACCGGCAACACACTAACTGCGTTCTTCCCGTTCAGCCAAACTGACGCGATTGTGAAAACCCTGCCGTATTCGAAAGTGCCTACATATTACACAGGGAATGCGTGCAGAAAATATTTTGTACGACGCAAACGAGGAAAGCGAGTGGATGGACCCCGGTATACTCGAAGATCTGCGATAGGCAGACTGCACAGCCTGCACCCCAATCAGGACGAATGGTTCTTACTCCGCACGGTGTTGGTGAATGTGTCCGGTTCAACGTCCTTCCAGTAGTTGAAATATGTCAACGGCGTTACGCACGCCACTTTCGCAGTGCATGCCAGGCCCTCAAGTTATTGGAAAACTGCCGATACCGGGATGTATGTATTAGTGTTGCGTGCACCACGTCCCATCCACATCGAATTCGATCATTGTTTGCAATCTTACTGACCGCCTGCTCTACTTCATCTCCAACAAATTTGTGGGAGAAATATAAGTCGCACATGACTGAGGATAACGTCCGTCGACTACGCAAGGAAAATTCCGAATGCGGATTTCACAGCAGGAATCTACACCGAGGCGTTAATAGTGATTGTGGATATGTACGTAAGAAATTCCGAAAACAATTCCTAATCAACCGGGAATGTGCCCATCAAACCGGCCTTCTTCTGTTTCGTTAGATATGGATTTGCGCCGTGAGCCAAAAAAGCTCGAGGCTCTCGATCGAACACTGCAAGATGTGCGTGGAAACAGCAGACCATTTGGAGACATTACTGCTACTGCTTGCAGGAGACTTCGGACAAACACTGCCTGTAATTCCTCCATCGGCAACAGCAGACGAAATAAATGCTTGCCTGAAATACTTTTCTTTGTGGCGCCAAATCCAGACGGTAAAAGTACAGCTGCAAAACCACCGATCAGCTGAGGTATTGCCATGATAATTGCTAGCAATCGGGAATGCAACGGTGTCCACTGATCCCACTAAAAGGAGTATTTCCCTACGTCTTAGCCTCGACAATTTAGTGTCCTCAAAAGAGGAGTTGGTTTAAAAGGTGTTTCCCACTATGCAGACCATTTTCAACAATCACGGCTGATTAAGCGAGCGAGCCATTCTTGCGACCAAAAACAAACACGTGTACCATTATTACCACATGATTACGTCTAAGATTCAAAGCAAGACATTCACTTACACGTCCGTCGATACAGCTGCAGAAGCCGACGAGGCAGCTTAATTATCCAACACAGATTTTGAATCAACCTGAGCCACAGCAACGCGTGGCCGGGTCCAGCTAGTCTATATATATAAAAATGGAAGGCTTTTTTTCTGTGTTATATCTAATCTCCGAAAGTACTGCACCGATTTCGCTGAAATTTGGACACAACCCGACCCGCGCATAGGGCCGGGTTTTTGGCTGTTCAGTTGTGTAATTATGCCGACGGTACGGCTGTGATGGGTAAAAAACCGGGTTTTTTCCGCCATAACAACGCCACCAGCTGCGGCCACTCGACCTTCATCCACGCGGACACGTGTGCGCCCAGACTGCGGCCACTTGACCGACATTTGCTCAAGTGCACGTGCTCCGCCCGACAGCCGCGCTCACCCCACCACCCACCCTGCAGGCACTTGAGCAGGCCCTCCACCTTCTCTGGGCCGATGCAATATAGGCCGCCAGAGCAAACTACTCACCCTGCGGCAAAAAAACATGCAACACTTGGACGCCACTTAAAATTGTCCCACAGTCGACATAATAGTGCTGTCACCGCTGCCTTGGGGATTTTCGGGGGGGGGGGGGTGAGGAGTGGATGCAGTTAACGCCAGCGCCTGCCTGCCCCCCCCGCACAACCCACATAATGGGGCTGTCGCCCAATGTCAGCTCAGAATTGTGCAGCTGGGCTTGCGAAAGCCCGGTTACAGTCACAGCTACCGCGTTCTGCAGCTTCGGGCCTGCTTCGTTCACAACATCATGACCACAGCCAGCTGGGAGTGGCCGGATGGCGCCAGCGAGGAACAGCAGACCAGCGTCCAACACGACTTCGTGCTCAGCATTCACGCAGCCTGGTGCTGTTGTAAACGACGGCACGACAACAACCGTTGGAAGAGTAACGGTTTTAGGGTAAGGTGATACCGTCTATACCGGCAGTCGGAGACCGATTCCAACGCAACATCCATTTAAGTATCGGGATGATACCGGTGGATATCACTCCAACGCTAAGAGGATAAATCCAGTCAGTGACGAGGTAACGCACATGAAATGCAGCGCAACGAACCCTTAAGCAAACCGACTTATTATACGACAGAATGTAAGTTGTCCCCTTTTGTAATGCCGTCAATTGCTTCATCACTACATTGTGGATATGTATGCAAAAATCGAAACTGAACGCCTGCTTTCATTCGCTAAAATCAGACCAAGCTGCTCTCTGAAGGATAAATTCCTTTGCCTGATGCTGTTGTAAACGACGGTAATGCAGCTAACGTTGTAAGACTGACGCTTTTGTTGTCCACGCCATATGCTCGAGTACGCTCGAGGTGCAATTGCTTACAATTGTCAGTACGGACGTCCAGACCTACTCATAACATTCAAATGTAGTCAGCTTTTATCTCCTGGGCTATCGGCGGTAAATAGGTATAACATCACAGCACGTGTTTTCAGGAAGAAACTTCAATCGCTGATGAACTTCGTGGTGAAACACGAGGTGTTTGGGCCTGTGCGCTGCTGGATGTATTAGGTGGAACGGCAAAAAGGGGACTACCCCATGCGCATGTATTGATCTGGCTCTATAACAAGATCACTTCGAACGAAATCGACGATGCCATATGCGCTGAATTACCTGATGCCGACGTCGACAATGCGTTGCATGAAGTTGTGGCGAAGAATATGAAACATGGACCTTGGATGCACTGAATCCCAATTCTTCAACCCCCCCTCCCCGGCATGATAGACGGAAGTTCCTTATGCCGAAAATAATCAGCGGAAGAAGTCGGCAAATTGGCAACCGTACGAATGCGAATCGGTGACATAGAAGTCGGTAACCGCTGGGCTGTTTCGTACTTGTCTTTGCTTTTAAAAGCAAACACAGCTCACATGAACGTGAAAAACTGCAATTGCGGGAAATAAATTAGGTACATTTGTAGGTACGTGAATAAAGGCAGCGACATGGCCGTTTTCGGCCTGCAAAACGAAAGGAGGGAAAGGGATGCGGGCATACAACTCGATGAAATCGCGCAGTATTGGGCTGGGAGATGCGTCAAGGGCAACAAATCCATGTGGCGAATTCTTTCATTCCCCATCCATATGCAAGCCCAGGTGGGCAATGGCGTTTACTTTACCGATGCAAATGTGCAACAGACCACCGGCAACACACTAACTGCGTTCTTCCCGTTCAGCCAAACTGACGCAATTGTGAAAACCCTGCCGTATTCGAAAGTACCTACATAGTACACAGGGGATGCGCGCAGAAAATCTTTTGTACGACGCAAACGAGGAGAGCGAGTGGACGGACACCCAGGTATACTCAAAGAACTGCGATAGGCAGACTGCACAGCGTGCATCCCAATCAGGACGAATGGTTCTTACTCCGCACGGTGTTGGTGAATGTGTCCGGTTCAACGTCCTTACCGTAGTTGAAATCTGTCAAAGGTGTTACGCACGCCACTTTTCGCAGTGCATGCCAGGCTCTCAATTTATTGGAAAACTACCGACACCGGGATGTATGTGTTAGTGTTGCGTGAAATGCGTCCCATCCAAATCGAATTCGCTCATTGTTTGCATTCTTACTGAACGTCTGCTCTACTTCATCTCCAACAAATTTGTGGGAGAAATATAAATCGCACATGGCTGAGGATATCGTCCGTCGACTACGCAAGGAAAATTCCAAATGCGGATTTCGCAGCAAGAATCTACACCGAGGCATTAATAGTGATTTTGGGTATGTACGTAAGAAATTCCGAAAACAATTCCTAATCAACCGGGAATGTCCTCATCAAACCGGCCTTCTTCTGTTTCGTTAGATGTGGATTTGCGCCGTGAGCAAAAAAACGCTCGAGGCTCTTGATCGAACACTGCAAGATGTGCGTGGAAACAGCAGACCATTTGGAGACATTACTGCTATTGCTTGCAGGAGACTTCGGGCAAACACTGCCTGTAATTCCTCCATCGGCAACAACAGACGAAATAAATGCGTCTGAAACACTTTCCTCTGTGGCGCCAAATCCAGACGGTAAAAGTAACTACAAATATGCGTGTACAGCTGCAAAACTACCGATCAGCTGAGGTATTGTCATAGTAATTGCTGGCAATCGGGGATGCAACGGTGTCCACTGATCCCAATACAAGAAGTATTTCCTTACGTCTTAGCCTCGACAATTTAGTGTCCTCAAAAGAGGAGTTGGTTGAAAAGGTGTTTCCTACTATTCAGACCATTTTCAACAATCACTGCTGATTGTGCGAGCGAGCCATTCTTGCGACCAAAAACAAACACGTGTACCATCATTACCACATGATTACGTCTAAGATTCAAAGCGAGGCAGTCACATACACGTCCGTAGATACTGTTGCAGAAGCAGACGAGGCAGGTTAATTATCCAACAGAGATTTTGAATCAACCTGAGCCACAGCAACGCGTGGCCGGGCCCAGATAGTTATATTATAAAGCTGTATTTCTTTAGATAATGCATAGAACATGGGAAATTTGCGTATCCAGAAGATGTCTTGCCGCGTTTACCTGGTTGGCTCAGTTGGTAGACCTTACCTCTGATCGACATTTAGGCTGTTTTGGACTGACTATTTTTCACTACTGGATTGAAACAATGATCAAACTTCGTGGATAGCTTTCTGGTCGGAGGAATGGGTTGGATCTATGATTGACTGCTCCCGTTTAGTTCCTCCAATTCCATCTGTGTAATGATCGTCCGTATTACGCCGGAGGAACTTTCTGCCGATTTATTTGGACAAACTAAAGATAATCTATCCTGGTTATGACTAAGTTCTCGTAAAAAATCACGTCCCTTGGGTTATTTGCTCGAACGTATAACGCCTCAGCGCAGAATGCCTGATTGCTACAATATTATATAATCCGATATGCGAAGTAATTTAATACCAGTCGGTTTCTGGTCTGGTTTTTTCAAAATATCTCGTTTTTTTCAGTGAGGAAGAAACAACCACCACTATGAATTCAGGCAGTCCTCGAAAACAGCAGTCAGAATGTATGATGTACAACGGTGATTTGCTCAGTTAGATATTACCTTCTCCTGAAGAAGGAGACGCGGTCGCAGGGACAAGAGTTTTATTCGCCTGACGTTTCGGATTCCTGCTCGAACCCAACATCAGAGACAAAAGCAGACGGCGCTGTCACGTATATTTACGTTTCAGCGAATTTGGATCTGAAAATCAACCAACAAAGCGTCTCGTTTTTCAAACACGTTGAATTATGTAGGCAGAATTGCCCAGTTCTCGTGTTTTTGATGTTTACTCAAGGTTGACAGCCTTTCGAAATTTACACAAAATCCGACAGGGTGAAGCCATTGCAAATAACTAGGCACACATAAGTACATTTAGATGCAAGCGCATAGCAAACACATGTACAAACAGTTGAAACAGAGACGTTTGAGTTTCAGATGGCCCCTGAGAATTCGCTGAATACTTCGTGATTTTCAGTGTTTTCAATCGAATGTCCATAAAGACAGGTTCTGTATTATTTGCTCATTAAAACCTTTAAAATAAGATACTTCTTGAAGGCATTTACCGCAGTAGAGCGTGTTTGGCGGTTATATTTCATTAAGATTTTCGTTAAGGTCAAATTTGAAGACTCACTCAAACCCGAAACCTCACTGTGGGGAAAAAATTAACGTCCACAAATTAGTCAAAATTAAATATGCTCTCGATCCAGTAGAAAACTTTCTCTAATATGTTACCTGCTTAAGGATTGCCTCAAGACGGCAGTCTGTCAGCGATTGTCTGTGTACTTTATGGTTTTGCAATTTGCTGAAAAAATATCGATATTTTTCTACCGCAGACGTAAGAACGTAGTTTTCTCATTTTATTACGTCCATTTTCACTATATTTGCCAAATTTCAGGTTCCGCTCTGCGGTTACGAATGCAAGGCAGCGTGGCCCTATCATTACTGAAACAGTTAATGCTTTCCTCGTTCCATTGCTAAATTACGTACTTAGAGAAGCTAGGCCGCACGAGATGTAATGTTGCATATGTTCAAAACTGGAAATGACTATTCGGTGGTAGTCATATCTGTGTCAATTCGTATGACTTCAAATGGCAAAATGACATTGATCCATGCCGGTGTTCGTTATTACTGCGCTTCAGGACACGAAATCGCACGGACTTGCAAAGCTGATTTTTAACACTCAACAAACTGAAACTGTTCCGACTAAACAGTAAAGATAGCGCGAGCTCTCAAGGGATGAAATCAAGGCCTTTAAAGATAGTTTTAGAAAGTAAACTCCAGAGGGATCTTTTACTTGAACGAACAGTAAGGGGGATCCCTGGCCATAGAGGTCTTTTGTTTCAACCGGATTACTCAGTACAAGAGAGAATGAAATGGAGAGCGCTGAAGGCGGAGCTGGCGACCTTGAAAGCACAAGGAGAGAAAGGACTAGTAATAATGAACGGAGTGATTGTTCGACGACAAAGACCCCTCCTGTGGAGGACGCCTGTCATACTAACGAAGGCCACACGGCCGGGCAACTAATTCGACGCAACAACCTACGTAAAATTAAGTTCTTCTACGGAAATGTACAAAGCCTCTTGAATAAACTCGACGAACTTAGAATAATTGTGGCCGAACTATGTCCTGATGTTATTGCATTAACTGAAACGTGGCTCACCCTAGATGTCACAGACCCCCAAATACAGTTAGATGGTTATCAAGTGCTAAGACGAGACCAAACCAAAAAGCGAGGTGGCGGAGTTGCCCTATGTATCAGCAATGCGGTCGAATATGACCCTGTTGAAGATTGTGTAAATGAGCATGATCTGGGGATGCTGCAGTGTCATTTGCTGGTCCCCAAAGCCGAAAACGTTACTATTACAGTTGTATATAGGCCTCCAAATCAACCTGCCGACGAGGATCAAGCGTTTATCACTCGACTCCGCGAGGACAGTCGAAAGCAAAACATGATTATTGTAGGAGATTTCAATGCTCCTCGGATTAACTGGGACCTTATGACAGTTAAGGGCCACAGACAAGAATTCGACCAAATGCTATTAGACATGGCATTTGATGAATTTCTGTTTCAACATGTACGAACTGTGGCTCGGATGCGTGAAGGTCAGAGAGCTAGTTGCCTAGACCTTGTGTTTACCAAGAACGAGGAAAGCGTTGATGAAATAAATGTAGGCCCGCCCCTAGGTTCTTGTGATCACATGACATTAATGTGGGAGACGACACTCGTAGCTGTCCCCGAACGAAGCTCAAAGTCGTTAAGAAATGTCTGGCGGGGTAACTTTGAGGCAATGAAATCAGAGATTGGACACACGCTATGGATGGAAGCATTACGAGGAGACGTCAACGAATGCTGGACAACCTTCGAATCAACTATGAGAGACCTGATTGAACGATACTGTCCCCTCAAGAAACATCCAACCGGAAACAAACCGAAATGGTTATCAACATCGGTTAAGAAGGAAATCCGAAAAAAAACGCCAGCTGTGGAAAATCTTCTTAAAAACGGAGAACCCGGAAAAACTTAAAGAATTCAGACAACAACGAATCTTATGCAAAAGACTCATCCGAGAAGTACGCGCTTCTTATGAACTGAAGCTCCTAGAAGAGGCGCAGCAAAAACCTAAAGCTTTTTATGCATATATCAGGAGCAATACGAAAAGCCGGGACCATCTGGCAACCTTAAAGGACAAAAATAACCGAATTGTGAGCGATGGCCTTCAAAAAGCCCAGCTTCTTTCCGAGTTTTTCCAAAGTGTCTACACCACGGAACCACCCCTCCAGTCCTGTTCTCTTCCACTGCCCGCCAACCAACCACTTATATGCACAGTATTTTTTACTCCGCAGTTAGTTTTAGCAAAGCTAAATAAGCTGGATCCGGCCAAGTCACCTGGACCAGATGAGATCCCAGGTGTACTCCTGCGTCAGCTAGCCGAAGAATTAGCAGAGCCACTTTCTATAATTTTCCAAAAATCGCTGGAATCTGGCAAACTACCTGACACATGGAAGTTGGCAAACGTCGTACCTATCCACAAGGGAGGATCACGGCTATGTCCCACGAACTACCGGCCGGTTAGTTTGACATGCATTTGCTGCAAACTGATGGAAAAAGTAGTTAAAAAATCTATTACATCACTCGATACTTTCCGCTGTCACATCGCCTCAGTTCAACATGGCTTCTGCGAAAAGCGGTCGTGCCTCACAAACCTGCTTTCGTTACTCAAACACTGGTTAAAGGCCATGGATGAAGGACATCCAGTTGATGTCATTTACTTCGACTTCAGCAAGGCGTTCGATTGCTTCCCACATAAGCGCCTCATTCAAAAGTTGTCAGAAGTAGGGATAAGAGGAAATCTTCTGAACTGGATTCAAGAGTTCCTAAACGGACGGCGACAAAAAGTCACTGCGGGCGGCTACTGCTCAGAATGGGCACCGGTTACGAGTGGAGTCCCACAGGGGTCAGTTCTTGGGCCGCTTCTATTCATTATCTACGTAAATGACCTAGTAGGGGAAGTAAAATCGGAAATAGCGCTATTTGCAGACGATCTTAAACTTTGGAGAGCGACAGGACAGAGGTGACCCCATAGCAACGTTCCAGTTGGTAAAAGGACTTAATCTGGATGTCGACTGGGAAACGTTTTTTGAAATGGCACCCAAGTCCAATCTCAGACGACATGATTACCAGCTTAAAAGGGAACTGTGCCGCACCAATCAACGCTCCTCGTTTTTCTCACAGAGGGTTATTCGTCAATGGAACTCTTTGTCGGAGTTTTTTGTTAATTCCCCTACCGTGAACGTGTTCAAGAGTCAACGGGATGCTTACCTGCTGAAAGGCAACCCGAACTGCCGAAGCCTGATCTAACGGATTACTGAAATGACTATAAGTATACTACTAACAAGATTTAAACAGATCCTATTTTGTGCTGCAAACTTAGCCCATATTGAAATTTTCACAGTCCGAATGCGGTGAACAAAGATTTTCGTAATTATTTCGCGATTATAATACCCCTTTCGCCTTTATGTTACATTATTAGGTTTATGAATTCTCCTTACTAAAACTACAAGCTTTGCAATTTACCTATTTTCCCTTATATCTGCACCCCCCTAAATGGAGATTTCAGGGCTTCTGTCGTTTACTCCATATATACTGACTGTTATTGACTGAAACCGTCCTGTTATCCAAAATGACTACTTGAGTAGCATTAATGTTTGCATTGGTTTTCCACGCCCTTCTAAATTCAAGTATATTTTACAGAAAACATGTACAAAAAATTCTTTCTAATACTCATTTGGCAGAAAGTTGCGGTTTCTTCCGATTCTATATTTCAAGAAATAGTATCTTTCGGTTTTAAAAAACCCTCCAGTTCCGGAATGATTTTGAAACCAACCTGTCGTCTCCCTCGCATATAGGGCTTCTAAACTACAAAATGTGTATTCTCCGTGTTTTGAAAATCATGTAATTCTATGGGCTGCTAAGAAGAAGCCTTCCGGCTTTTATGGAATCTTGTAGGGGATTTTATTCATAAGCAGCACTAACAATCGAAGAGATACGGTGGTTTATAAAAAGACATCTCACGATCTTAAAAAATCTCAAAATTATAAACTTTATTCAACCTGGTGATACTCTTTTTTAAGTATAGAATTTAAAGAAATAATTCTCCACTAAATGAGCGAAAGAACGACAATTTTGAGCGTGTTTTCCGTGAAACATATTGTAATTTATGAGGGCAGGGAAAATCAATTGGGAATATCCATACTACACAACTAGTCATTTTTTCTGAGTTTAGTTTATCCAGACGGCACCAACGAAGCTCGGTCAAAAGCTGGCATGGATATAGGACTATAATGTTTATAGGTGGCGGAGATGAATAGAAGAATATTAAGGTAGTATTACGAATGTCATATGGAACGACTAGAAGGTGCAGTGGTTGAAATCTTTCAAAATATTTTTAATCCGGAAAAGCAGACGGAAGTCAGCTCTCAGCTAAGGGACTGGCAGAAATTTAAAGCTATTCAGATAGTTATGATTGATGGGGAAGAATACGCGTGCGTCTAATGGAAGTGAATTCTCGTAAAATACATCTATAATATAAGGACGACTAAATTCGCTCTCTACCCGGTGAACGCCACAACCAAAGAATTTTATCTCAGACATTTCCGGTTGCTTCAGCATGAAGCAAAAACCGCAAAATGTCAGGCCTGTCCACTTAATTGTGCATCAACTAAATCACATCCTCTAAGGTTCACACACGTTCTGTTTCGCAACACGGGACCACCACCTGATGCAACAACCACCGGTGGACATCCGCGTCGTTGGTTTGGTCCAAGGTCGCACGAAAATAATCAATACAATTTAAGCCTTGAACTGTGTCACAAAGCAACTCGACAACCTACGAAATGCTGAGTCCGTCCAAACTCTTGTGCCGTTACATTCAATGGTGGAAAGACGATGCGGATGTAACTGGATCATTAAGTACACACTATGAACGTGGCATGTTCAGTCAGAATAGGGAAGGAACCTCGTATTCAGATAGCAGTAAGTCCATTTCTCCTATCCTTCAAGATTCATTCTTCCTGCATCTGATCGTCTACAATGCCAAACCAACAATTTGAAACCACATAAATAAAGTAATTCGAGCAATTATTAATAAGGCATATGCATCGCACAAGGTCCTTATGCATGCAGGTCCTAGATTACACCGACCGATCCTTTTACCGACTTGATTTATTTAAGCCAGCTAAGCATCACTTATCCAATACGCATGACCGAGGACAAGGGATGACCTTGGGCGTAAAGAAGCATTATTTGAGGTTATTGATGTCGGTTTTCATGAATCCATTTTAACTCATGACTTTCTTCCTAGATGTAGATCAGATTTCACTTAATTATCTTTATTGAACTTGTCTTCTAGACCCTAGGATATCGCGATCCAGTACGTCCGAATGGCCAACTTGTGGATCTCCAGTTAGCACACTTAGCGTAGCATCCGTAAGCACACATCGTATGAGTTCTAAGGACTGTACACATACCGAGAGTAAGGACGAATCTCCCAATGAACAGGATATCAGCATAAACTCTGATACATCCATCTGGACAACTGGCACCGAGCACACAGCTGTCCGATGGAGATCACCTCCCTCTAGACTAGGTGAGAAAATCTCCGGGGCAACAAGTTTGGAATATGTCAGTCGCTTGAGCCTCACAAGTGAAGAAGACCTTCGCACTCTGGAAGTTAATTCAACTCCCATATCGCAATCATCAAATTCCGCACACCATAAGGAGTCGGAAGGTGAAGTGAATAATGCATCAGCAGCCGGTTCAAACAGCTCCATTTCATCAATATCGTCCTCATCCTCAACCCCCACGCGTGATTCGCCACACAGGAACCCGGGACCCCCAATGCTAGCATTTAATGCATCGAATCCCCGTCCGACTCCACATCCGCGATCTCGTAAGTTGGCTCTGAAACAATCCCTGCCAGCAGCCCCGTCACCGCTCTCACCTCCTCCACAGCCGCAGCCACCACCACCACCGCTGTCGTTGTTGGCACCAATGCGATCAACGGAGTCGCCACTCCCACATTCTCTACCACCTCATCCGTTCACGGCGCCGATTTTGCCGTCACCAACTCTACCACCAACGTTCCCCTGTCTGCTGGACTTGGAGCCGTGCAGACCATCGACGCCACCACAACGGCCTCGCCCACGGCCGCGACATTCGGCCACCCCGACACACCCAACGCCACCCAATCCGCCACTGCCAAGGTCGTTGTCCGCAATGGCACACCCACCACCACTTCCACCACCACCACCGCCGCCACCAGGATGGTTGACATTGAAGCAGGTGGAGACAGTAGTGACTGCAGAGGAGTACACGCCTCCGTCTCCGACGCCGTCCCCTGCCCCCTCACCGACTCCGTCTCAGCTCTTAAATGCACTGATTGCTTGGCCGTCGCCGTCGTCGCCGAAACCCTCAACCCCATTGACACCACTGCCGGAACCCTTGTCGACGCTGGCCCCTTTCCCACAACGTTCTCTTCCACAGTCTACAGTTCGAGAGGTGTTGAAGGGGTTGAGTCCATTGCCTTTATCAACCCATCCCTCCTCATCACCAGACCTGTTGACAACGTCTACCTCGTCTCCACCATTATCCTCATCACCCTCCCAACTGCTGCTGCCGTTGAAGACGTTGACGCGACGGCTACCGCCACCTCCGACGATGACGCCGACGCCGCCCTCATCGCCGCCACCACCCCTATTCATTTCGCGTCTCTCGCCTGCCGATGAAGTCGGCTTACTTAGCAGCCATCTCAGCGAGACTCGTGGTTCTGATCTTCCGTTTAGAGGGGGTGGTGATTCACCCCGGAACCCACTGACACGGCTGCTGCAGACAGGAGTTCCAGAGAAAACTGAAATGAAGTGGACTCAGACAACTCCAGTGTTAGACAGCAGCGGCGACGGAGTTGTGTGCGTGCAACCGACGTCCAAGGGTATGTCTGAAAGGCAGTTTTTTAATATTCACAGTCTCTTTGACAAACTTCGTTTTAGGCCACATTGTCTACTATGTTAATGAGGTTATGAGTATCTTATCCAAACTCAAGTAATGATGAAAGACCACGTGTATGCAATCCATCGTTCGGCGTAGTCTTAATGATAATTTTCTTTCCATTTCAAGACAAAAGCCCAGTTTCTCCTGCCAAACCGGTCAAGGTATGTGCTCTCCCTGCTAAGACATTTGTGGTATTTGCGCCTTTGAATTCATCTGAATATTTCTTACGTTTTTATTTATCAACAGAGAAGAAAACCTCGACACTGGAGGCGACTGATTGCCACTCTACGCAGGTTGTTTTGTCTAAGCACGTAGAGGAAATGGCAGGCCTAACAGATCTTCCTCATCGGCTATGATGACCCTCACCCCCACCTAGAATTAAGTAGTATTTTTGTAAGTAATTTACTATTTAAATAAACTTCTTATCAGAACTTGGTCTTCTCACTATACAATCACAATTGTTTCTATATGAGGAAACAGACCTCGCACCGTAGGTCCAGCTATCTTACTGAGGTCTGCGTGGGCGTGCTTACGAGGGAAGTCAGATTGCCTAGTCAGCGTGAATGTACATCTTCGATTTTACACTTGGCACTCTCTCGTACACCTGCCCTACTCTGCACTGTTGTTTGAATATGCCAGAAATACACACAACCACCGGTTTCGACTTGCGGCAACGGGTGTTCTTGTTTCGCTGCCGTTTGATGTCGATGATTTATGGATTAACTGTATACGCCTGAATCTGTTGTAGTCAGACGCGATAAACATCTGCGGGTTACATTTCAGTCACACCTTGCCGGGCTTGAATTTGTCCAGTCGACAAGCCCCACCAACGTTGACGAGCTCGAACCTCCTGAGAATCATCGAAAAGGACTCACACTTTCTTTAGCAACCTGCAACTAGAGCGGACTTTATTTTTCGTGATTCCGTGCAACAGCATACATTCGTCGATTTCTCCATTATCTTCGTCACTGTTCTCGGACCAAACGTACATACCTTATTTAGAGGTAGTTTTTCCCTGCACATATCATTATTTTGTAGTCTTGACCATTGCTTGCATTATTGGACCGATATGACCGAACACCACACACTTTGATTCCCTTTCCCATTGGCGAAATTTTCAGGAACGAAATTTCATCCAGGGGTGCAATCATTGATCTCAGTTAGACAAGACGGAAAACAAATGCTGAAGTCAAAATAACGAAATCCTCTTGCGATATCTACCTTGAAATTGAGCAGAAGTGAGTAGACGTTGGCTTACTGACATGATGTGCTGAATGTCCAAACTTTTAAACCCTGCTCTCAAAATAAGGGGGCGGGTGGAGATGGAAGAAATATAGATTTATTAAAGGAGGAGTACTCATTAATCCCAGCGAGATTGAGTCCTCGACGTGGATATGAAGGAATTGAAGATCCGACCTATCTAGAAAACCAAAACTGGTAACACAGTACACATATGGCTGCGTAATGGGAGGAAATGACACAAGAGCTGGACGAAACGAACTTGAGGGAAGAATTCAAAGACTCAGCTGACTTCCGAACAGAAGAAACGATATCGATCCTGTGAAGTGCAATCGAACGGCACATTATGCAAATTTGAGTAACGTATATGACAAAGCAAGGGGTCTAAGGGGAATTGGCAAGATTGTATACAATGTGCGATTGCAGAAGAATAGCACAGAAATGTTTTACACGAGATGGAACAAGTCGACGGCCGCAAGGTAATACCAAAATGGAACATAACTTATATCAGGAGCTTCTTCGATTGAGCGAATCTACTCGGCAGACGGAAAAGCCACAGATTTTGAGGAGCTTGGTTCAAGATCAAGACAACAGACACCGCATTAGATGAAGATTAAGCTTTCGAAGAGCAATGAATCGCAAAACCAGTTAAGTCCTTCTCGGGAATGACTGCGCAGAGCAAGGATTCACCATAACGTAAACAACCTTCAGCATACGGGCGATAAGAAGGCTACAAGGATGAGCGAATCTCTCTGGTATTGGTGACTCAATGTCAACCGTATTTTCAATGGAAGTGGCATCTCACAGAAAGTGGTTAACAATGAAGTAGGCCATTTTAATGTCAGTTCGGTCTTCATGTTGGACGACGTCCGCCGCGTGTCCTACAGCATGGTGGGTAGCCCAACGCTCTAACCATTGAGCCACGGGCTCGTTGTCCTATCGGTTGTGATTTGGTATATTAACTATGGTAAAGGGGCACTCACTCATCGCGCTACGGGAAATACTCGTCCCGTTGTGTCTATTAGGTTTCTATAGGGCTCGTGAGGTTAGTTACGCAGCGACGAGGAAAATATGAGGACAGGAGCATCAACAGGGGAAACGGAGGCTTGGACGTCCATTTCTTGTTTGTTAGCCCTCAGCAGCCTACCAAGACCTCCAAAGGCCTGAGGTTGACAGTAATTAGCTGATGACGGACAAAAAGCCAGAAACGGTCATTTCAGTTTTAGAATTACGTGAGCCTGGTAGTCATCTGGTGGATTCTAGGTGAATTACTTAGGAAATCCTGCTTGGGCAGTCAACTTACTGTATCAGATTTGGTGGATTCCAGACGTTGCAGTAGGTTGGGCGGGTAAACTTGACCCAAATGTGATTAAACTCGCTTCGTCCGGCGGGGCCTCGTAGCTCAGGTGGTTGGAGCGTTGGCTGTACTAAAGCCTTCTCCTTACTGCGTGGGTTCGAATCCCACCGGGGCGCCGAGTTTTTCACAGTTGGGTCAATAAAAATTATTCAAAATCTGCCAAAATACCTATGAATTTAAGTTTCCCTTGTGTTTGTCGACACTCCCCTCAGTATATGTTCATGGTTGCAATACAAATGACTTCATAGGCTGCGGACAGTTAATAGGCCAGAAATCGCCACTCCAACCTTCCTTGCCTCCTGTCAGCACGAGATACCCTAATCAGTGCGCTAACCCCCAGCTACTTTTCGAACCAAGTCTAGCAGGGCTGTGACGAGGAAAGAGACAATGCTACAGACCTGCTACCTCATTAGTCAGTGAGCCTATAATGGTATCCAATCATCTTAACACAATCACCGTGCCGTACTATGACGGAAGCACAAAGAGATTAGGAGACTGTGTTAGCAATCTTCTTTCCAAACATTCCATTATGCCAGGGATGTTTTGGTCATCATCCAAAGAAGCAACGTCCAGGTGTGGTAGCGGTGAGCGAACAGTGTGATGGCAACTTTAGGAACATTGTAAATCGTGATTTCAGACTGCTGGAAGGCGATTCAACTCAAATCACGCCAGTCTGTCATGCAAATTAAACCCTTGAAGTCGAGTTTCTCTGAATTTCGGGGCGGTCACATTCAGAGAGTAGTCAGCATAGATTTTCCCAAGCGAGGTTTGCTTGTTCATACCATACCTAAGTCAGGCCGGCTGCAAGACCACTATTAAAACGAATGAAAATTTGCCTCGGCAACGGTTTGGAGAAAAACCACAGTTTACTGTCGGTAGACTGTAGATCGTGTCGTAAGTGTTTGGTGATAAGGAGAGTTTTATGGGTAGTGCTGTACACTAGACAATAAGCTGACGAAATGCTGGAAAAGATTCGTCCTACGATTTCGTGCGACAACAAAAATGAGCGCGGTAATTAATCAAGAAGCCAATTTCAAAAAGCAAAGGATTTTGAGTGGCAATATGAAGTGATGGCAAATGATTGGGTAACAATCGGGAGATGGCACCCAAAAAAACATCTGCAAAGTCCGCAAAGGCCTTCGAATGGTTGCCAAGATAAAAGAACATATGACGTGATCCGCAGTCTGCGGTCAGTTTAGTGGGGTCCTTCTCAAAACCGTTGCCATTTCTTCTTATGGAATCCCACTCAGTCTGGGAGGATGAGTAAGGCCTTTCATACTAAGAGCATTATTCACAGTCATTCGTACAGAGAACAGTTCTAATAGGACATGAACTTGAAGAATACAGACGGACCACTCCTCCGGATATTTACGCCAGTCGACTCCAAAGGAGCAAATTGGCCAGATGATGGTGGAGAAAGTAGGACCATCATGCAGGATGCAAGGACAGTGACTTGTGCGTACCGTTGTGTCTTCGGTTAATATAGGGCTCATGAGGTTAGTTACATAGCGACGATGAAAATATGCCAAATGGAGCATCAACAAAGGCAACGGAGGCTTGGACGGCCATTTTTGGTTTACTAGTCGTCATCCGCCGGCCAAAACCTCCACAGGCCTGAGGTTGATAGTTATTAGCTGATGACGGACAACAAGCCAGAGACGGCCATTTCAGTCTCCCTTGTGTTTGTCCACACTCCCCTCAGTAATTGTTCATGGTTGCAATACAAATGACTTCATAGGCTAAGGACAGTTAACAGGCCAGAAATCGCCACTCCAACCTCCCTTGCCTCCTGTCAGCACGATAGACCCTAGTCAGTGCGCCCACCCCTGTTGCTTTTCGAACGAAGTCTAGCAGGGTTGTGACGAGGAATCAGACAATGCTATCCGTGACGTCGAACGGGCCTACTACCTCATTAGCCAGTGAGTCTAAAATGGTATCCAGTCATCCTAACGCAATCTCCGCGCTGTACTACGACGGAAGCACAAGGAGATTAGGAGACTGCGTTATCAATATTCTTTGAAAATATTCCATTCGTGCCAGGGATGTTTTGGTCATCATCCAAAGCAGCAACGTCCAAATGTTGTAGCGGTGAGTGAACAGTTCGATGGCAACTGGAGTGACATTGTAAACCGTGTTGTCAGACTTCTGGAAAGTGATCAAACTCAAATCCCGCTAGTCTGTCATGGAAATCAAACTCTGGAAGTCGCGTTTGTCTGGATTTCAGGGCGGTCTCATTCAGAGAATAGTAAGGATAGGTTTTTTTCGAACAAGGTTTGCTTGTTCACATCATACCTAAGTAAGGCCGGCTGCAAGGCCGCTATTAAAACGCATGACAAATTTCCTCGGCAATGGTATGGAGAAGCACCACAATTTACGGTCGGTAGACCGTGGATCGTGTCATACATGTTTGGCGATAAGGGGAGTTTTACGGGTAGCGCAGTATACTAGACAATAAGCGGACGTAACCCAGGAAAAGATTGAAATTGTTTGAATTTCTCCTGGAACACTCGTCGTACGATTTCGTGCGACAACGGAAATGAGCGCGGTAATTAAACAGAAACAAAAGCAAATTCAAAAAAGTAAAAGAGCTTGATTGGTGATTTGATGCCATGTTAAATGATTGTAATTGACAGGGTAAATTCCGCAAAGGCCTTCGAATGGACGCCAAGACAAATGAACATATGACGTGATCCGCAGTCGACCGTCAGTTAAGTGGGGTCCTTCTCAATACAGTTGTCATTTCTTCTAAAGGAATCCCACTTAGTCTGGTAGGATGAGTAAGGCCTTCCATATTCAGAGCATTTTTCACAGTCAGTCGTACAGAAAACGGTTCTAATGGGACATGAACGTGAAGAATACAGAAGGATCTCTACTCCAGATATTTACGCCAGTCAACTCCAAAGGATCAAACTGGGCAGAAGATGGTGTAGAATGTAGGACCATCATGCTAGTCGCAAGGTCAGTGACTTGTGCGTAAATTAGTTCACACTGACGGCAGACTTGAGTGGCATCTGCCCGCTGCAAGACTAATTCAGGACGAGACATCGAAACATCTCCCACACACGCCTAGCCCGTGCACGAGGGAACATGTCTTCATCAAAACAACCAAAGAGCAGCCTAGATCCCACCTGCGAGGGAATACCGTAGAGCTCACCACAAGACGGAGCCACTGCAGCCCGACTCTACGGCATGGGAGGACGGAATTATCCTGTCAGCTGGTAGCATTCCAAAGCATGCCTTTTAGCCCATCGTGATTGTTCAAAGCCACGTCAAATTGTTTATAACGAGGAACGTGGCCCGAGTGCTGTGGGAACGGTGTCCTGACACATGCGTGGGAAACCCACATTAGCCACTTGAGAAGGAATCATTAGGTCCTGACTCTTGATCCGCCAGTCAGTCACTCCGAACATACAGGACTGACTGTGAGATTTCAGTTGTATCGTCAGTTGTACATCTCCTAACCCGCAGCTCGTAACCCGTTGTGATGGATTCAAACGCGCCGCATTTGACGAAATCGCTTGGGATGCCGCAAGGTGGAGTCCCCAATGTCGCCGTCACAATCGCCCCCTCACGATCTCACCACAAATATCTTTCGGCAGATCAGCCAGCTGACGATGAGGGCGGGTAGAGTGGCCGACTGATCTACGAGGATTCGTATACGTTTGCCGCATCCGACCTGATCAAGAACCGGCATGCGCCTGAGACCACTCTACTCACTTATGCTAGAGGTGCGCATTCTGTGTCGGTGGTGGGCGCTGTGGGTCAAGATTATTTGTGGTATAGTGGCTGGTGGAGGTGGGTGATGATGAAATCTGAACTGCTTTGTTTTGTCGCAAATTCCCTCGGATCTACGCCTGACTTTCCAGACTGATACATGAGTGCTAGTCAGACGTATTTAACAGTTGACTGAGAGATTGGAAGACTCGCTGATGACATCGAATTCCGATTACTCCTCATCAGCATGTCCCTCATTACCGCCGTTAATCCCAATGCGTTCACGCCTTCCACCCCCTCTACCACTCCAAGCCTAGTTGCGACGTGGTGATGCCGTAAAAATGCGAGTCGATTTGGATGGGGAATGACCATTGAGACGCATGCGACAAATGCGTTCTGCCAAGCTATTTATAGGGTAAACAAATAAATCCACCGACCTGATCGGACCTCTGCCACAATCGGTTGATCTGAAAAATAACAGTGAAAACTGAGACAGCAATCCACGTGGTCAACCAGATCGGGTCCGCCAAAGCCAGAAAAGCGACTCGCAAGCTTCAGATGCTGTGAGCTCACAGCCCCAACACCCCAACGAGTCCATGTTTTCAACGGATATTACGCCCTCCGACCGCCGACGCACTTATACCACGTCCATCATCACTGCTCCATGTCCTTAGCGATGATGACAACGGCGACTATCGCTATTTCCATCCCGACGACCGTAAGTACACTCCCGATGCCTTGCCACCCCTCATCGCCGCAACCACCACCAGCAACGCGGATTCCATACCAGACTTTTCCGCTTGTAATCGCACCTTCACCTCATGCATCGGTCTGATTTGTCACTTACAAATCCATCGCAACGAGACTGCCGAACCAGTGCCCGAAACAGCAGAATATACCCGCAGGACCTGTCTCAGCTGCCTCCACTACCCACTAATATTCAGTCGACGCATTGGCCTACCCGGACTCATACACGCTGAGGACAGCGGAATTCACTGTGATGTCTGCACACCAAAGCCACCTCGTACATCTGCAAGCCTCCCCACCATCGGTGCTACCGACACCACCACCACCACCACCACCACCACCACCACCACCGCCAACAAACAACAACATCAAAACAGTTACCATCCTACATTGCGTATACCGACACCGCATATGCACATCATGTATCCGTCTGGAAAGTCAGGTGGGGATTCGAACAGTTAGTGGTTCATTTAGAATTCGTTACCCTCAGAGCAGAGAGAAGGGGCCAGCCGAGTCACCTGACCAGTGGCCAAATCGGTGCACCGACGGGCCAAATATGTTGGTTCTAACGCGTACACGCGGTGATAACTAATTAGTCGATCTGGTTAAAGGGGGCGTGGCAGCCTATGGCAACATCGATTTTGAGGTAGCTACGACAGCCGCGCAGTGGGCAGAAGTCGCGAGTTCGCCAGCAGTCAGCCGCAGAGGGACCAAAGCCCATCGTCGGCAAGTAGACAGGTCAACCTTAGGGCGTCGGACATGACTATAGCAGAAGACAGGTGCAAAGCTAAATAAGTCCATGTCATCTGGTTCAGACACCTCAGCAGTCTGATGAAAGAAATGAGAATGTCACCGACAACTTAAATATCGTCCATGAAGTCCCCGCTTATTCCTCTTCTTTTTCTTCGTCGGCTTTTAAAGCGGATAATGACTACAAAGATAAGGCTTACTGGAATGGCCATTGATGGCTCATAAGTCAGCATCAACCAGACACATCCAATCCCAGGTTTGCAACCACCGAGGCCCAAGATCGCGTTCTGCTAGTTTCTAGCCCAAAGCCCTAACCATTGAGTCACGGGCTCGTTGTCCTCTCGGTTGTATTGGGGCCTACCGGTCGATAACAGGGAAGTACTGATAATGGATTCGAGTGACAATCCGAAACGTCGGGCCAATAAATGTCTTGTTCCAGTGATTGCATCTTCGTCTTCTAAAGAAGCAGTAGTTGATATTATCATCAAGTTTCGCGATTTCTTAGTCAACTGCTATACATGTTCGATTATAACTCCCTGATGCTTTGACGCTCCTAGCATGCTTGTCTCTCCTCTAGGATGACGAACACTGCATCAACATACTCCAAACATTCTCATCAGCCAAAATCCGAGTCAATCGTTTTTCTGCATTCCAGTCGTTGCATGAGCCAGGTGGACGGGTGATTGGTTCAAAGATAGGCCTCCTGGGATAGCATCTATCCCGGGCCTGCATTCCACAATGGAGGCTGGATGAGCATTACTACTAGCGCAAAGCGAGCATTGATTTAAATGGCGAAGGTATATGCCTCAATCTCGGTCTACAGGCTCACTTGAAGTAACAAACCATAAACTGGAATTTGAGTTCTCTAAAGAAGGAAATACTGGTAGTGTCTGCGAGAGTCTTAGCAGTTGATGCATCACATTGGCAACGACCGGGTGAAGGGCCCGTTTGGAGGAAGCTTATATTGTTTTCTGTGGTCTGGAAGAGACAAGCATCCTAGGGGCGTCAAAGCATCAATGAGTGCTAGTCAGACGTATGTAACAATTAATTGAAAGATTGGAAAGCTTGCTGATGACATCATCAGCGTGTCCCTCATCTTCACCACTCCAAAGCTGGTTGCGACGTGGTGATGGCGTGGAGGCGCGAGTCCATTTGGATGGAGAACGACCATCCAGAGGCATGCGACAAATAAGTTCTGCCAATCTCATTCTAGGATCAACAAATCAATCCAACGACCTTGGAGGACCTCTGCCAAAATCGGTCGATCTGGAGAATAACAGTGAAGACTGAGACAGCAATCCTCGAGGCCAACCGGATCGGCGTTGCCAAGGCCAGGCGCTACGAAATCACAACCCCAACACCCACTTCCTTCCGACTTTCAACACCTTTCATCAGATAGGACACCAAATCCCCTTTCGTATTCCATTCTAGGATTGCATCCTTCAGACAGACCTCTAGACCAAGATCAGAGTATTTGCTTTCGCCATTTAAATCAGTGCTCACTTTGGACTGTTAGTGTCCTCTGGACGTTCAGCAACTAAAGTACCTCAAACAGCAGTTTTGTTCACTTAACCGCGATTATGGAATGCAGGCTACAAATGCATACTGCCGACCTCTTTCTAGGATCAATACACACGCACACGGCAGTGTCAAAGCACGTCGGCGTACTGGGTGAGGTGGGGGGGGGGGGAGATAAGAACTGTAAAATGTGACATGTAAAGAGTAACCAATATTTCCCAGTGTTCGGACTATCTCATCACTGCCTGCAATAAATAGACTCTCCTCTTAACATCAACCCGTCCTGAACGTCCTCACGTGGCACTTGCTTCCTCTCGAAGAGCTCAGGTTCTCTAAAACATCTCCACGCCTCCTATTCAAGAGTCTGTTTTCACTGTTCTGTCCATAAATCTCTGTTATTTGTTAGCGATGTCAATGCGGAGTCTGTAAGTATTAATATCATTAATATGATGGCAAGGATTGGGTGAAGGCCCCCAAACATCTGCGGCATACAAACAGTACCTACTATACTTATTTGAGTTGGTTTTATTCCGACACGATTATTTCGCTTTGGTGTTTCATCGTACAAGGTTAGTTCGTCTGTTGTTGACAGTCTGATGAATTATCTACAATGACCTCTGCTCAGAGAGTTGAGAAGCGATCGTTGTAGACACCTGATGTTTATTTTTTAATTGTCTGCTTAATTTCAGTTCCTATATGTCAGTTCATTAAAACTTTTCCGCCCGAAAAACTATGCATGCATAGGTCCCGCCCGTAAGACAGGCGGGTCGTGTGTGTGTGTGTGTGTGTGTGTGTGTTTGAGGGCCTTCACCGATCGTTGCCGTGGCGAATGGTGGGCTGTAAATTCATTAGAAATTGGCGTATTTTCTCCTAGTTGCTAAAGCCTGGTCGAGCATCCTAGCCCTAAATATCTTTGCCGTTTATCGGACATAATTGTTTTGCCTGCAAATGCAACATATCCTCTAAACGAGGGCTTCTAACTACGCCAATAAAGTGGCAGTAATCTAAGAGTCGAACTTGACTGATGACGTAATCATCGAGTGGGCAACAAACAAATAGCGTGAATGTGCATGTGGCCGTTGGTGTCATTTCTTCAAAATGTTAACGTGTGCTCGAACATCCTCGCCCTAAATATCCATCCGTTTAATCGACACAGTCGTTTAGCTCGCATCTGCACCAGATCGGGTAATTATTCTAGCTAATAAAAGCATTAGTAAAAACGCCAAATTCATAAGGACATAAATGAGGAAGAAGTCATTGAGCCAATTCGAAACGCCCATCATGAATGCGAGAGCTGTCACTTCGTCGATGTGGTTGTGTGGTAAATACAACCTGTTCACACCGCGCAGATCCCTGTTTGCATCGTCCATTTTTGCTGCCTTCGGTTATGGATTCCAGAATGAATCAAAAATATCGGATAAACATTGTCTTTGTTGCACTCCCTGGAAGACAAGTGTCGCGGGAAAATTTGTTGTTTTGCACATCGATAGTTCTGCGAAAAATCAGTTGACTCTATAACTTTATGTTTCCCCTAAGCAACCCATTTGTCCTTCAGGATAACGCACAGAACGTCGACAAATGAGCATTTGCCTGGTTATTCCTAACCTGTATACAGAGTCCACAAAGAAGCACGTGCCTCTCTGAATTCCTGCAAGACCAAATACGTCTTTAATCAGTCATTCCAAATGCTGGCACTAATTAACCTTTCGACGTTTGCAAATGCGAAATCGACAAATTGGTTTTCCTAGCTTATGAGAAGAGTAGTCGGTTTTAATTAAAGGACGTTTATTTTTGGCATGCGACAGATGGAAGGGGTTCCAAGTTAACATCAAAAATGCACATGTTTACATGCGACTGCTCACAGCCCCAACAATCCTGTTAAGAGTTCTTAGTGGACTCTTCGACGACCACATCCAAGATGTCAAGTCATTGCCAAAATCAAGTGAACCTGCTGGTGCAGCAAGAGTCTCCATGGTATTTCCTGGGTCTTCAAATTCACCTACAAATCGTGAGTAACTCTGATTATGTTTGTAACGAATCCGAGACAGGAGATGAGGTCAGAATATAAAAAAATATTTGGTAAGATATGGTTTAGTAGCCCCACCTGATGAACACAATACTGTTGAGATTAGGGTTAAGGGTTATGGGTAAGAGCTTAGGATCGGGGGTTGTAGTTAGGGGCTAGGGTTAGGAATAGGGGTTATCGCATCTGTTTCTCAACCATTCAAAGCACAACCGCGCATTACCAATAGCTTTTCGTCTGCATACAAATATTTGATCTTGTCGCTTGTGCGTTATCCGGTCCCACATGGGTTTGTTTTCTTCAGGTGGGGCTACATATCCGCATTTGATCCAATATTCAAAAGGAACCTAGGAGTTTTGGCTCCATTGTTGTTGTAAACAAACAGATTGAAATTCATACCAAATTATTTGAAACTGGGAATGAGAACTTTCAACCTATAAATAGTCCAGCAAGGATATTTAATAAAACTATATACTTAGTTTTACGCTACTCCAGTTCAAAAATGGTAAACAGTACCGAGAGCAAAAACGGTGTCGGCGCAGGTCAGAAGAGAGAAAGCAGAGCGAGGCTTGTTCATCGAAGCGAGTTCTGTCCATTGGCCCAGAGGTGACGCAGTGTCTGGCAGCGAAAAGACCTCCACAAAATTGACATCACATGCTCCGTCCCAACCGCCGGCGTCAATTATTCTTCCTCTGAAGTGTGCTGCCGCGAGGTATGCTCGTGCATGCCTCATGGGGGCTGCCGGTAGCCAAAAGTCTGTGGTAGTAGCTGAGGTCACCTTTTCTTGCCAGTCTGCCTGTAGATGGCAGAACTCCATGGAAGCACTCACGGAGTCGTCCTCTTCACCTCCAAAAACGAAGACGCGATTGTCGCCGGGTAAGGACACAGCAGCCGGGGCGTCCCTTGTCTTCCGCAGATCGGGAAGTTTATACCATCTGTTGGGGGCGTGCGATGAGGATGGCACACAGGAGTGAGAATAACAGCGATTTTTACGAAAATAACCAAAAGGCATCACGAGTGTTCTCACCTATCTTGATTGATGTCATACACTTCACAACAGGCGAGGTGTGTCCAGGTTTCTCCCTCCTTAAACGATCCTCCAAAGACGCCAATCAATGCCTTCTCTCCTGAATCCTCGTCTCCGACATCCACTCCCACGACTGCGGCTGCA